TGAAATAATATTGGTTAGTCAAAAATTGAGTTATATGGAGAACTGATTAAATTGAAAGTGAGTCTCTTGCTTTTTCTCTCATTTTCTGGGGTTCTTTTTTCTCAAATGTATATGATGCTTTTGCAATTCTCTAATATCGTTTTGTTTATATATAACTTTTGCTCAGGTGCGAGCCATTTCCGTCCTATCCAAGAACATATGATCTGGTGCATGGTGAAGGACTTCTCTCTCTTGAATTTGGTGAGCAGCCCAGGTGTCTCATGCGAGATCTATTCACTGAGATAGATCGTTTACTTCGTCCAGAGGTATCCTTATGATTTGTTGTTACTCTAAATTCTTATCTGGGTTTACCATTTCTTCCTTTATATGGTTTGATCCAAATATTTAAAACAATCACTTTGGGACTACATAATCCTCTACAGTGCAAAGACTGCAGCTTTATTACTACTACAGCTAGAAGACGTTCCATACATGGTCTTTGTTCTGCCTGACCTTGAACCTTTAACTTATGTTTTGACTTAATCTCCTAATATCAACTAGTAAAACCGTATCATCTCCCAAAAAGGACTTGAGTTTCCATAACTCATGAGCATAATACGTTTGTAGTTTGAATTCTGTATGTCTCCTTTTTTCGTATGAGTAGGCACTGTAGAACCCTTGCTTCATTCATATTGCATCTCCTCTTTAAAATCGTGTTTAATAATTTTGTAAACCAATTGTCCTTACAGTTTGCTAATGGACGTGTATGTGTAGGGGTGGCTGATTCTAAGAGACACTGCTGCTGTTATCGAGTTTGCAAGATCTCAGACAACAATTCTGAAATGGGATGCACGAGTAGTAGAGATTGAGGGCAATAGCCACGAGAAACTCCTAATCTGCGAGAAACCTTTCTTCAAAAGACAAGCAAGCTAATTCTCAAGATGGCCACAAGCCGAACATTCTAGATGACAATGTTCACACACACTGAATCTAAGTTCCACAGAAGCGGTGGATTGATTTTTTTCCAAACAGAAAGAAGGTATCAGGGAGCAGAAAACAAGTATGCTTGGGCAAAACACAACTCCTATGGAGCCGTAAGGTACACATAGGGACATGTAATTACACAATTGAGGCACAAGCAAGTGAAAGAAGTGTAGGATTATGCACAAGTTTCGCTGTGATGTCTCCTTATAAATGACACAACCACATGATAAATTTAATTGTTAGGATATTACACAATAAGCAAATTATGATCAGCTATAGTGTATAGAATGCTTAGACATATTTTTTTGGTACCTCTCTTTTTTCCCATTTTCTTGTGTTTACACCAACATCCTATCCCGGTACCTTATCATTGAATTATATTTTCACTATGTTGTGTTATGCTATTTTTCTGCCTATCGTTTATTCTTGAGATCACTATCGCCTCTGGAATACGACTGCTGCTTGATTATACTATTTATCGTGATATGTACAC